ATTTCTAAAATATACGAAGCATCCATGTGCCCTAAAATAAAGTGACTATTAATAATATACAAAATAAAATAGCTTTGCTTTGGTCTAATGTTTGCAAAATTGAGGATTATTTGGTAAATAATAATGATACTATTCACACATATGTAAAATTAAATGTGTCAGAGATAAAAATAAATAATTAAATACATAATGAGGATCATACTTTTCACTCAAAACGATTTCAGATTAAAATAGGTCAAAGGTCAAAGTGGATATAGTCATAAATACTCAAGAATTGCACACACACACACACACACGGAGGTCGAGGATATTTAAGTGGTTGTTTTTTCTTTGTGGTGGGAATAAAAATCTGCATTATATGACAAGCTGAGTAAATAATAATTTAGACAATTATCTCTGAAGTGATGCGTAAGAAAAACTGAAGAATTTAATGAGCGACCCATCTGCTCCCCAAGGTGTTCAGGCCAAACGAGCGCGAAGGTGCAGGTGACAGCAGTCTGAGATCATTATGCAAACTTTAAGCCCTGAAACGCTTTAAATAAAGAGAATAAAGTTTGATCTGTTTAAGTTTACAGGTTTTCGTGTTGCTGAATCATCTCTGCCTCCTGCTTTAATCCAGCTGCTCCTGGACACGAACAATTACACATCCGCAACGAGATGTTTGGATTTAGAAACAGAAGAGAGGCGCTGATTACGGACTAAGATGGTTGAGTCAACAGCAGCCAGACTTCTGTCTGTCATGGTCCTGCACTGGTCATCTGTTGTGCTTTAACATCTCTCTAAATCTCTCGAGCTGGATTCATCTGAGCTCCATCTGCAGGTGGAGTCCCGGTCTCTCACATTTGGCTCACTCTTCCCAAATAAACATCCTGACCAAGTCTCACTATCACGTCCTGAAACATCTCATGAACAGCTCAGCGTCCGATTCTGTCAGGACTGACTCTCCTTCCTTCTCTCTCAGAGTTATCCTCCCATGTTGAGGCTCTGTTCCTGCACCCTCCCTGTTCATCATTTACTCTGTTTTTGTCTGTACAATAAAGCCATTTGAAAGGAAATCTCTCTCTTTTGGGTCTCACTTCAGGATCCGCTCACTTTAAAGGCCTTGAAACTTTTAGGTTCTTGAACATGTTTCACTTTTTATTCAGAAGTTCTTCAGCTCAGGCCAATAAAGGCAGATTGAGAAGCTGCCTTCGACTCAACCACTCCAGACTAACTAATGAGCGAGAGCCCACACAGAGAGCCCGACTGTAATGACTGTCAGAGGTTCGGCTCGTCTACATTTCAATGTTGAAATGACACGAGCACGCTGCACAGCTGAGTCTCACAGAAGAAAATGTGAGACAGTTATGAAAAAATGTTTGTTTGTGTTCAAGGACACCAGCTGTCACG